CAGGTGGGTACCTCAAGTCAGGAGAACCGCTCTGGCCAGTCCCTGGCACCTGTACCGTGTAATCCAGGGTCACCATGTGGGCCTTGTTGTTCACCGTCAGCACTGACGTTGTGATGTCCTTGGTCAGGTCACTCTGCAGGTGGTGGTGCCAGCTGCATTAGCCTCTGCAGCTACCAATGGGACCTGGACCCCAGTACCACACCTCCCTCTCTGGGCGGCCCCTCCCCCAGGGGCCCCACCTTATAGTAGATGTTCTTTCCTGGCGGTGCGCAGCCTGTGCTGAGGATGTGGTCGTAGTTGCGATGATCGATGACCAGCACACCCCCTGACCTCACCATGCTCGCGATGTTCTTCAGGGCCAGCCGGTGCTCACTCTGGTCCCCTGAAGTCCGCCGGCCAGGGACAGAGAGGCTGCGTCTACTCAGGGCCCCCAGCACCAGTCTCCCTCCCATCTTTCTCCTCCCCAGGGGCATGGAAAGGATATAGTTCAAAGCAGTGTCCATGCCCAAGCCCACATCCTCTCTCACCTTTGCAGTCTGGCAAGTGGGCAAAACTGTTTCCAAGGCAGATGACAGCATCGAAGCAACCCCCTGGTGGCTGGGGCACATCTTTGTCCAGAGTCATCCAGTTGGCTTCTTCAATGACTGAGGGCCGGGAAGGGGAAGAGGGATCGGGGTGGCACCATGGTACCAGCAGTACCCACCTCCACCAAGTGGAGTCCTGCCTCAGTTTCCCCTTTAAGACACACACAGGGACTCCCCATCCAGTCAGGGGGAGGGGATCATTATGGACATGGAGGGTGAAGGGAAAGCGGGGCCCAGGGAGGAGGAAGCCATGGTTGGGAAGGAAGGCTCTGTGCTTACGGGTTTTTATTTGGGGGAAAGACAAGACTCTAAACGTAATTAAAACTAGCCCCTCATACTCAATACCTCATTCTGGTGCCTAAGCCTCCCTTTTCAGGGAAATGACAGTGGTTTTACTGTCTCCCTTGGGGAAAACAAAACACCCCACCACAGGAGCTAAAGGAGCCCAGGGCAGAGAGAACCGTGTCCTTGGTGGCTGGGCTGAGGGCGCCTGGCTCGACCCACGTACCCCACTTGTCAAAGGCAGGCTCGTGCCGCCGGTTCCAGCGCTCTTTAAGCGCATACTTCAGCATCTTGTCACTGGCATCCACGCTTGTCACGTTGAAGCCCTCTTCCACCAGCATGATGGAGTCCACCCTGGGCAGGACCAGGGATGACAGGCAGAGAGGGGCAGTCAGCGGGGCCTGGGAAGGCAAGGAGGAGACCCTGTGCTGGACACTTCTGTCTCCTATATATCCTGTCCCCAGCCTCTCTCCACTGACCTCAATTGACCTGGCAAATCTGTTACTGAGAACCCAGTAGCAACTTTTCTTTTTAGTTTTAGCACCGAGTCAGGTATTCTACAAATGTGCATTAATCTTCATGGCAATCCAGTAAGGTAGATGGTGTTATCCCCATTTGAGAGATGGGGCAAACTGAGGCTCCTGGAAGTTAGGTAACTTGAGCACAGGAGGTAGTATAGCATGATTTTTTTTGTTTTTGTTTTTGGCTGCGCCACAAGGCTTGTGAGATCTCAGTTCCCCCAACAGGGGTTGAACCCTGGGCCCTCAGCAGTGAAAGTGCGAAATCCTAACCACTAGACCACCGGGGAACTCCCAGCATGGTGGTTCAGAGCACAGGTCAGGCCCTAAACAACCTGGGTCCGCATCTTCTCTCCACCTTTACCTCTCTGAGGCCAAATTTCTACAGCTGTAAATGGATATCACTTCTTATCTCATGGGGTTTTGTGAGGATTTTAAAAACTGATGTATCAAAAGCACCTGGCACAGTACTTTGGCAGAGGCACATGTCGAACAAGTGTTAACGCTGCCACGCTGGAGCCCGAACAGAGCTTACGTTGGTGTGGCCCCAAAGCCTGGCCTTTGCGCCGCCCTCCTGAACCCGCCTTCCCCACCCGATGTGCCCACACCCTCGCTCTCACCCTGGGTCTCCTGGGCCCCGTCCTGCCATCGTCGGCCTCGCCCTGCCTGTTCTGCCTGGGTAAACACTCACTCCTGACCCTGGCGTCGCGCCCCCGCCCGGCTCAGGGTCGGCGGAGGAGGCTGCCCTGACGTGCCCGGCCGTGGTCCTGCGATAAAGCTGCCCGGGCCGAGACAACTCCGTCGCCCCAATGCCCCGGGTCCCTACTCACCCCGGTCCCCCGGCGCCTGCTCACCCGGGTCCCCACCCGCCACCCGCTCCCCGCTCCCCGCTCCCGCTCACTCCGGTCCCCTGTCCCCTGCCCGGGCTCACCCAGTGCCACAGGCCACGTCGAGCACCCGCTGGCAGCCGTGCTGGCGCAGCAGCCCGAGCAGCCAGGCCTTGTACTCGTCGGTGCGGCTGCGGGTGTCCCCGATGTAGAGCTGCCACACGCGCGCCGCCTCTCCGTCCGCGTACTGGTCCGGGAGCCCTTCAGCCGCCACCCCCAGGGAGCGGGTCCGGTACACGCTGTCCACCATCCTGCGACGTCCCTGGCTCCGCTGCCACCGGCTCCGCATTTATAATACGGCCGCTGCCAAAGCTCCGGCTGCCCCACCTGCCCAATGGCTGGTGAGCGCGGGGACACGCCCCTGCTGGGCTCCGGGCCCGGGGCCGCGGCTGCCCGGGCCGCGGGGAGGGCGCTGCCTGGCAATCCTGGACAAGCCCTTCTCGCCCGCCTGAAGATCCGGCCCTCTGGCCGATCCCTCGGCGGGAGGGGACCCTCCCAGACCCCTGCCCACTTAACCCAGGTCGCAGGAGGGCCCAGGAAGGGCCAGGAGAAAGGGGAGAAGTGAGAGTGCCCGCTCCACCCCCGCCCCAAGCTGGAAAGAAACTTTAAGTCCACAGAAATGGGCGCCCACGGCTGGACCCTCCCTAGCAGGGAAAAAAAGGTATTCGAGTATCTAAAGAAGGACTGTCCAGGGACTTCCCTGGTGGCCCAGTGGTAAAGAATCCCCCTTACAATTCAGGGGACGCGAGTTCCATCCCTGGTCAGGGAAATAAGATCCCACATGCTGCAGGGCAACTAAGCCCACCACTACTGAGCTCATGGGCCTCAGCTAGAGACCACTTGCTGCAAACTACAGAGCCCACATGTTCTGGAACCCGCACGCCACAACTAGAGAAGAGAAAACCCGCATGCCACAACCAGAGAGAAGCCCGCACGCCACAATGAAAGACCCCGCATGCCTCAACAAAGATCCCGCGTGCTGCCACTAAGACCGGAAGCAGACAAAAAAAAAATAAATTAAATAAATAAATCTTAAAAAAAAAACAAAAACATGGGGCTTCCCTGGTGGCGCAGTGGTTGAGAGTCTGCCTGCCGATGCAGGGGACACGGGTTCGTGCCCCGGTCTGGGAAGATCCCACATGCCGCGGAGCGGCTGGGCCCGTGAGCCATGGCTGCTGAGTCTGCGCCGTCCGGAGCCTGTGCTCCGCAACGGGAGAGGCCACAACAGTGAGAGGCCCGCGTACCGCAAAACAAAAAACGAACAAAAAAAACATGTCCAGCTGAAGGAGGGCCTGGTCAGCCAGGGAAGGAAGGAATGGGGAGTATTTGGGTAAATGCTGGCTTGGCCATTCAAGTCCAGGAGCAGTTCTGGCCCAAGGAATCATTCCACCCACCTGGGGGAAGGTGTTCCTCTGTCCTGTAGGTGAGGCATCAAGCTTTTTTTTGAGCTGCCTAAGGTGAAGTCTGGTTCCAATTCCTCTCCAACCAAGCACCCTTCTAAAGACCAACTGCTTTCCATGGAGGTGGCCACAGAGTGTGAAGTCCAGGGTCAGGGCTGGGAGTGCTTGGTGCTCTTGCTATCGTATTGCTCACTGTCACTTCATAAATTGGTCGTTTTGTTTGGTTACTGTACATCCATCCTTCCTCCCCAAAGCAGAAGGTCTCTTCCTGGGACAAGACCCTGGACTGAGGTGGATTCAGGAAAATGATGCCACCCAGGGAAGCCCAAGACAGCAAGAGCAGCCTTCCCCACCTGTCTTTGTTCTTCTGGCTTCAGAAAAAGCGGAGGTATGGAATTTAGAACAAAGGAGCCTCCCCATCCCCTCCCCCTTTTACCATCTATAGAACCCGGGAGCTGGAGGAACCCCAAAGATAGGTAATCATTCTTACCTTTCTATTTTTAGCACACAGACGACCTCAAATGGGCCTGCCCATGCCCAAGCAGTGGAGTCTGTGCTCACACTGACCCTACAGACAGGTCTTTGGCTACAGGCTTAGAAAGACACTGTACTGGGGAGTCTATAATATGATTTTTAAAAATAATATGAATGCTGATGGTAAACTTGGCTTTTTAAAAAATATATATAGGTTGTGAATAGCTTCTAAACATACTTTTCATTTCAAAGACAAGATATTTGTCCTGAAGTTAGTAATTATTTGATTTCTTTCTTATCCAGAGGCATTTAAAAAAATAGTCTAGATCACAGTACACATGGAATTGCATGGACCTTTTTTCTTTCTTTTTTATTTGTTTTTGCTTTTAACTATCAAAAGCATATTTTCTTCTCTTGACTATAAACTACTTGGCCTTAAGCATTTTTTGGCTACACTGAGAGGATGTGCTGCAACTTGTTTACTCACTCCCCAAGCTCTGAACATTTAAAATGCTCCCACAATTTTTCAAAAGAGTGAACATGTGGATGGTTATGATGAAATTATTTTCCAAATGAAATTTTTCTATTAATTGATGCTGTCACCCAAAACAAATGTTTGTTTCAACCTTCTCTACATGAAGACATTATTCATTGATATTTCATTGGGTAGAAAATTGTATTTAATTGTTGTAATCTTCTTTAATTACCACCAAAATGTACCAAGTAATTGCAGTCCTTCATTGCTAAATTGTTTGTCCATGTCTTTTACTCACTGAAATATATCAAAACTGCCTTTTGTTTTACTTGGTTACTCTATGTGAATTTTAGATAACCCAAACCCAAATTTAGATAACCCTGGGCCATGGACGAGAAGGTCACAGAATATAAATCAATTTACAGTTTGACTTAGCTGAAAATAAGAATAGGTGATATTTTTAATGTGCAATGCTTATTATTTACAACTGGCTGAAAAGACTAAATTCTTCATCCCCAAATGTATAATATGTTTGCAAAGAGATTTTAGGTTGGGAACATGGCTGCAACTGGACAAACTCCAAGGCTATATCTATTTGAGGACACATTAAAATCTTAGAATTGTGAATTATGTATATACAGTAACTACAAATGGAAGACATTCTGGCTGGTTTTGTTTTGATTCAGAACAGGTAGAAATACGTTGCTCAGAGGAGGGATGCCAATTTCCAAACTCTAGTCCAAGCCGCTGGAAAAAACTCTTCTCTGCTATCTGTCCAGATTGACCATTGGGATGCCACCCACCCACATGAACTCTGCTAGCAGATTTATTACAATGGATCCTTTTTTAGCCTTTTCAATATACGACATGACTCACTCTGCTTTAATAAAGCCCCATCAAATGAGTATAAAATTGGTCCCTATATTGGTGGGTTATAACACTAATTAATGGTGGCTACATTACTTTCTTTTTTTTTTTACATTTTTGGCCACATGGCATGTGGGATCTTAGTTCCTGGACCAGGGATGGAACCCGCACCCCCTGTGGTGGAAGCACGGAGTCTTAACCACTGGACCGCTAGGGAATTCCCACACCTGGCTTTTTGAGTGTCTTGTTTTGTTGTTTTTCGGACAGAGAACCTTTTCTATTTTAGAAAAGTAATGATGGTAGGAGATGTTGCCACCCCTGGAGCTGGTGATGGGGTTGGCCCACTTCTCCCGTCTCAATGTGCAGCTACGTCTCCTGTAGAGAATCACACCCATTTTAGCGGAAGTTTAAGCTCTGTTGGCCTGTATAAACTTGATAGATGGAGAGTACATTTTTAAAGAAAGAATGAGTAAAATCGGATTTCTCTTAAAGAAACTGTAAAGAGAAGCCAGCTCTTGAGGGCAGCGTTAAAGGTCAAGCTGCCTTTAAGCTATACACAACTGTAAACTTTGAAAAGGGAGAAAAAGTTGAAGGTTAATTCACTCCTAACTGCGTGTCCAACCTTAAACTCTGAAGACATAAATAGACTAGTGGACAGCAGCCGGTCTGCTTTCTAGAAGAGAGAGCCATGTCTAAGGGGAGGATGGTGGACGAGCCAACCAGCTATAGCTGCAAGATTCTATGGCATGGAGGCTATGCCCCAGGGCACTGAAGCCATTCCATCTGGGTTCAAAACCTGGCTGGGCCACTTCCTAAATGTGTGACCTGGGCAAGTTATGTAACCTTTCTGTGCTCCGTTCATTCAACAGATATCTATTCAGCAGCTACTCTTGGAATTCCCTGGCAGTCCAGGGGTTAGGACTCTGAGTTTCACTGACGAGGGCCCGGGTTCAATCCCTGGTCTGGGAACTAAGATCCCACAAGCCCTGTGGTACGGCCGGCGGTGGGGGGGAAAGCAGCTACTCTGTGCCAGGCACCGCTGTACTAAGCACTGGGAATATAGCAGTGAACAAAGTAGACAAAAATCCCTGTTCTTTTTGTAGGGTGTGTGTGGGATGTTTCTGGAGTGACGGTAATAATGTTTCACAATCTGCATGCTGGTGACTTTGGTGTTCAGTTTGTAAAAATTCATTGAGCTTACACTTACGTGTACTTTTCTGTATGTGTATTTTACTTTGATAACATGTTTAAAAATCCATGGCCTTGTGTGGATCACAGCTGTATTAAATGAGTTAACTAAAGCATGTAGAGCTGTGCTTGCCACATAGTAATATGCACTCAAAAAACAGTGGCTACTATTATTATTCCAGTGAAATTTCTTAATAGTGCAAACCAGGCCATCAGTGGATGTTCAAGAGGGATTCAGCTGGCTCTGCTGCTAGGATTAGTAGTCCTTCCACAAACCAGTTAGGCATGGACCATGCATCTGTCACGAAAAAATGTGTTTTTCTTTCAAGATCAAAGATATGAAGAATTTTGTTCATACTTGTGAACTAAAGTGATTTAGGGCTGCTGTGCACATGTGGACAAGTTGTGAACTGCACAAGGTGTCCTTATTTAAAGGGCTTCCATTCAAACTGCAAACCTCATGGGCTTGTATATTTATTATCATTTTCTGGCAGGAATTCTGGCAGTCAAGTGTCTTATTCTAACAAAACTTTTATTAAAACAACTTTCTGACAGATGGGAGTCAAAGGTGTGAAAAGCACCACTTTCTAACTTACGAAAAGATGTTGCATGAAAATACCACCCAGGAACTTGGAAATAAAGAGAGGAGCCTGCCTCCTAGGAGCTGTTCCTTAAAACGAATACACAGAGGCCCCGATGCAGCCACTTCTGAGACTACAGAACCCCAACCCCTGAGACTTGACTATCATTGAACTGGAACAAACTGGCCTTGTGGTTTGTCCATCAGCCTTTGTGGTTCTGGATGATGAAAGTCTCCAACAGAGAGACAGATCCTCTCTGGGGTTCTGATAATTCATGTTTCTGAGGACAAGACTTCCTTCCAGT